GTAATGAAGAAATGAACAAAAACGCTAATGTGATCCTCTCTTCGTCAGAACATGATCTTAAAAATGAATTCTCTTTGTTGCCTTCAGGACGTTGCTTTGTCATGCCTCAATGTAAAACAAACCGGCATGCAAAATCTTTTATACAAACAGCCACTTCTAAACTCTCTGTAGTGTGAATCTTTGTTTAAACTTTGCTATCTTTACTATTTTTTGAGTTTTTATTATTAATTTTGATCATCAAGCTCCCTGTCTTATTTTCTTATAATAATTTTTTAATACGTTTATTTCTGCTTGTCACCTGTGTTGTTCAAACTAATTGCCCCAGGTTGGTTTAATAAAGTGGTCTAAATCTAACAACATAAGCTGTAAAGTCAACAGAAAACTAAAGTAACTAGGGGTAACTACTAGAGCAAATGGCAAAACAAGTTTAAAACTCAAATAAACCCAAAATCCACAAAAATGAATAAGAATCCAATCAGATCACAAACCAAAATGGAAAAACTTCAATTTCATCAAATTCTTAATGACAGAGAATGTTCCATGCAAACCTTACAGCAAGAGAAATTTAACCCATTTTTTAATGGTGATTAAAGACAAAAATAATAGGTGAAAAATGTTTAATGTTGTTAAATATTCAGGATAGCATTTAGCTTTGACCGTCGGCCCCTTCTATTGACTGAGCAATATCTGACATGTAGCATTAAATCAACATCATGATAGGACCTGGTACTATTCAAAACACATTTAATAGGTCAAATGTGTTTGCAATGATCCTTTTCATCTTTATCTGTCATCTTAATTTCACACATTCTAAGAAAAGTTGTCCTCTTTAGACAGCATAGTTGTCCTATTTTACCCATCTTGTGGACTGCCACTGAGCTGCGCCCAGGGAGAATCCTGAGGCGAGGTAAGTTCTGCCCAAAGACCCACAGTGGCAGTCTATGTTGGGATCTGGAGATTCTCCACCTCCTCCAGCAGAGTGCGCTGTGGATCTCCTGGGCTGGAGCCCTCCAGCACAGC